TAGTTAAAAATATTAATTTGAACGCACTTGACAAAAAAAGACCAATGATACACCAATTCGACCTGACCTAACCCATTTTCATCTATGTGGGAGTGCCCGCTTCGGAAAATTTCTGGGTCTGCCACGATCAAGCCCACCAACCGATTTTATAGAAGGGAATGAAAAAGTCGAGAATTATCAGCTCAATTGTTTTACTTTCAGTCCCGCTGCGATTTCATGGCGATCATTAATTTCCGTTTGTTTTTTTACAAGAAATATAAACTTGCATTTGTAGTGAATGCTTAAGAATTATGTCTGCATATAGAAGGGGTGCAATCTAGTGAATCTACTTGAATAAAAGAATTTGCAGTTCATAGTGATCATGATTGGTCTTATGCTTTTACCCATTATTTTTGCAGTTTGAACATTTTGATTATTTCACTTTGGCATCTTCATGGGAAAGGTACTCCATTTGTCAAGATGAGCTTATGTATTGAGCTCTGCTAAAACCCAATGGACCAATATTCATTATCCCAATAAAAGTCCTTTATTGTAGTCTAAATCAAACACTAATAGACTTTTCCTTCTAAGAACTTCTCGATTATTAAAAACTAGTCCCTGCATCTCAATATTATCTTCATTCTCCCCATTTCGGTTCGTCCTAAATTTATCTCTTTTTTTCATTTTTGGCAAAGAATTTATGGTTCAGAACCATTCTTAATTACACATTTCCCTCGCATCTGCACAACTCTCCACCACACAATTCTGTTGGGAAAAACTCCGGACTTTCCCGCTTCGTGAAGTTAAGATAGACACTTAGGAAAAAAGGTAGCAATGGGAGCACACGATTAAAATTCTCCAATATGGAGATTCTTCCACTATACAAAAGAATAGTAGAATTTACAAGGATGTTACAAAATTGTCACACTCAATGGTGGCTCACTCAAGTTTGAGGATAGGAACTTCCCAAGCTATCTCTCTTCTCTCTTAAAGAGACTCTCTCACTATGTTTTTCTCACTCTAGAAAGTGGATTCACTCTTGGCTAGGATGGTTAGAAATGGAGGCTCCTACTCCTATTTATACTACTCCACCTCCATAATGAATGGTGGAGAGTAGTTCTCTAGAATGCTCTACATATGTCTTCTTATTCTAGAAAACTCCAAAGAATCTCTACACCTCTCCATTCCCTTCCATATGCTTTCATACTCTTCCATAATGTTACGGAAGGTTCCACACATCTCTAGAATATTCTAGAGGATTCCACACTATTCCACAAGCTTCTAGAGAATTCTAGACTTCTCTAGGATTCTCTAGAACTTTCTAGAAAATTCTATACTTCTCCAGAAAGCTCAAGAATTTTCTAGAACCTCTCCAATTAAGGAGGGATCTCAACAAAAATAAAAATGGTGTTTTAATCATTGAATATGGACCTGGGCCAGAAAGTCCATTAGGGTAAATTCCCACCTTACTGTTGCGGCGCTACGCGTAGCGATGGAGGTTGGGCTTGACCTTGATGTTTGATGTTTAACCCTAATGGACTTGGGTGTTGAAATGGGCTTCGCTTGTGCTAGAATCTGGGCCGCTAATGGGATAGTTTGCTGGCTTTGCTCGCTGGCTTGGTAGTCAGCTGGTTTGGGGGACTGCAACAGTGCAACTTTAGATTGCTGACTGGTGCTGGGTCTTGAATAGTCTGGATACTTGGGCTTGGGTTGACTTTATGGACCTTGGATATCTTTTTTTATGCTGATCAGCAGTTGATGGATCACTGAAAATTATGGACTTAGGGTGATGGAATTGACTGTTAAGGCAGCCAACTTTCTTTGGTGATTTTGAATGTATTTGGACTTCTATTTTGGGATACTAAGTTGGGGGTTTGTCCTGTGCTAGTTTTAATAGTATGCGCTTATCCTGTACTCTTTGATTTGTACTCGTTTGTGTTCTCTATATTTTTAATAAAATAGGAAAGTGTTCCCCGACGCTTTCCCCACTTCAAGTGGCTTCTCCGGGACAAAAAAAACTCCCTTCGTCCCGCAAGGAAGTTTCCACTTTCCTTATTTGGATGTCCCAAAAAGAAGTTCTCATTTCCTTAAATGGCAAGTTATCTACATCAAAACAGTGCAAAACAGTGTCAAACAGTGTTCAAACAGTGTCAAAGCAGTAAAATTTTCCCCACGGTAAGTTTATTTCCTTAATATATGTGTATGTCAAACCGAGAACTTCTTTGCGGGACGGATGGAGTATTAATTAATAAATAAGAATTACTAAAAATATTAAAGAAAAGAAAACTCAAAATTTATCATTAATTCATTATTAAGTCAAACCATTTTGAGTTTAAGTCCCTCCTCTTCCCTTGCTGTGAGGTAGGGGTGGGGGATGTGAATGGTAGTAACTATCTTAGGTTAGTTTATTAGCTTAGATAGTTTCTTTTTGACACATGCAGTGTATTTTGTTACTTTTGGATGATTTTTTAATATATACTTACATTTCATCCAAAAAAAAATAGAAAATAAATATGAAGATAAGGTATATGGAAATAGGCTAAATAATACTAAATCTGTCCCACTAACATTAGGACATGACGAGATGGTACAATTATTAAAAAAAATGTAGGTTTATGTGGTTGATATTGGATTGATAAAGTAAGAATAATTTAGAATCATGCACACTTTACCAAATTTGGTATGGAACAATTTTACTGAGACAAACTGAAAAAGAAAGATGAGACAATCATAGTGAGATGAAGAGTGTAAGTCTCTTCCAAAGAGAAAAATATGACTTAGTTTAAAATTTTCCAAAAAAGTGACATATTTAATGACTAGTTCATAGTGACTCGTCATCTACCATTGACATATCACTCTGAAATACAATGTAGTGACTTTTGTCCAGTTAGTCTTACACGGTTATTAGTCATATTTTTGTCCAAAAACATAACTAGACATATATTCATGCAACATAAAAGTAGGGGATTGTAGTGGAAGAAAAACCATATACAACAAGGAAAATATGTAAATTGGTCGTGAATTGGTTTGTCAGCCTAGAAATATATATAATACCAATGAAGGTTAGGACATTTTAGGGAGGAAAGAATGTCGGTGTAATCATCTTTCTTAAGTTACTTGGACAATATGCTTTAAAATAGGTACTCTATTAAAAAGAACGTATGTTTTGTATTTTCACCGTCTCTCATCCCTTGTTATTCCCTCCCCCACCCTCACACAGCTGCTCCCATCCATTTATCTACGTTTCTCACCATCTTATCTCTCTTTGTATGTCTCTTATCCCCAGGGACGGATCCAGGATTTTGAATCAAGGGGGGTGAAATTTTTTTCATTAGTGAAAAATTTTCCGCTAGTGTAGCAGGGCGAAAAAATTTCGCTAGTGTAGCGGGGCGAAAATTTTTTCGTTAGTGTATGACTCTGCGAGTAATTTTTATTCAAAAACTCCATGAGTAAATACACGATGACATTTAAATCTATTATATTACATTCTAATTTTAGACAATGAAAAAATAACTTTAATTATTTGAAAATAAGAAAGGATATAACATTTTATCAAATTATTTGAAGGTAAAGAGTTTTAAAGGTACACATAAACTGATGTTTTTTAAATAACTTCTGCTTTGTATAACCACATGAATCTTATCAGAATAAAGAATCAATTTTTGAATTGCAATTTTTATGTACGAAGGAGGGTTAGCCGTCTTCTCACCTTAATGAAGCTTATGAAGTTCTAGCATTCCCGATTTAGCCCCGGCGAAACTCCGGCGAACTTCAACGAACTCCGGCGACAACTCCGGCGACCCTTTCAACTCCGTGAAAGTTCTTGGAACACCTCATACAAGTTGACAATAAGGTTTTATCATCATAAAACCCATATCAACACAAATAACCCCTAAAAGGTTATTTTCCGGCGAAACGATCTCTTTGGCCTCTAAGTTCGTTCTTGAACTTAGAACTACCTTTCAACCCCCATTCCACACTTTTAAATGTGTAGAACAATACTAAGGGTATGAAATATGATTAAAGAAAAGAAATGGGATTAATAAAGTCATTACCTTGTTAACCACAAGTTTTCCTTCTAATTTCCTCCTTCCTCTTCTCCCTTTTTCCTTCCTTCTTCTTCCTCTTCTTTTTGTGCGAAAATGGCTGGAGAGATGGAGTGGTTCAGAGTTTCTTACTCCCTGGATGATGAGTGATTCGCATGGATGAGGGTTATGGGTGATGGGAATGGCATTTTGGCTTATTCACAATTATATGAGAGAGGATCCCCCTTTCTCTTCTCACTTTGTCTCCTTAGCACCTCCTCATTGTTTCCTTTGACTCAAAATGGTGCTCTCCCAATTATTTGCAAGATCAAAACGTGGGATGGCCCCCACATTTGTGGGGAGTCATCTCTTTGTGTCCCCAAGTGTACACTTGGTCCCGAAAGTTGTATTTTCCGGACTGTTTCAACTATATTTCATTTTATCGGGTCAAATGAAATATCTATCATTCTTCCAATTATTATTGACTATGAGAATGAACGTATATTTCCCAACTTTTAATTTAATGGCCTCCATAATTTATTATGGTTTTTTATCTGTTAGTACTTTGGTACCGATAAATGGGCCTTATATGCACGACTGGCCAACTCACAAGGTTTCTATGGTCCAACCTGGATATCCACCATTATGTAAATATTATCTAGACCCAGATGAATATAATATGTGGTCCCGATAATATCGGGCGGCCCCCACTCCCGGTGTGGGCCCCATGTGAATTTTACTATTCACGTAAAAGAAATGATAAAAATTCACAATCGCATAAAATGCGTTTATTCATTTCTCAGGATCCAATACATTATTTGATAAAGTACAAATACTTGGGGGCGGTGTTACATTATCCCCTTGCCTTAAAAACTGCATGCATTGAAACACGAATAATTCACCCTTCTTCTTAACAACTTCAAGACCATTTAGAGCAGCAGCAACTTGGGACTTTGGGAGTATTTGTTCATTGGAGTAGGTGCCGAAGATCCTGCATTGAAAGACATTTTCAAGATATCTAAACATTTTTGGATATCACTCCTAGCTTTCTTGGAAGAACTAACACTTCCAACACTTTTTCGCTTCCCCTTTGAACATGAGGTAAGAGGACTTTTACTCCCTTCATCAGAATTTTAATGTTCATAATGCACCTGATATGACCCACTGTCATCACTGTCGCCACTGCCTTCATCACCGGTGTTGTGACGTTCTTTTCGAAGTAGCTTCTTACCGGTTTCACATGCCGGTGAGTAGCTGTACTGGCTACTTGCGAATGACCCACTATAAAGGTTACAGAGTAAATTCAAATGGGCCAAAGGTTTCTTCAAGAATCTGTTTGGTACTCCTTTATGTTTCTATATAAGAAAAATAATAAATATTTTAACACATACGTGTTCACATTTGGAACTACGTAAAAAAATATCAATAATTTTTACCTCTACAAAGCATCCCCATCTATCATCTTGCTCGATCAATGGGACACCAGTTTCAGGATCAAAAGCTAGGCCAGTCCACTTCAACTCCATTTCATTCCAAATTTTGAAAAGTGATCTCAAGTCATCATACTTGTTCCTAACTTTCCTATCTATATATGTTTTACCAGTTGCCATATTTAAGTTTTGAAGAATTTTAGCCCAATTTGTCTTTTGTGACTTTGCTCCTGCTTACATTTCAATGCATATCTCCAGAAATATTTTGGTGTCGTGATGCGATCAAATGGCTCGTTCAACAAGAACTAGCCATTTCCAATGTCTAATATTTACAAAAGTCAAACATGGATAATAATAATACTAATAATAACATACAAAAAATATTAAAACTATAGATTTGCGAACATATTGATTTATTACATGCACACATTATAATACAATCAACTAATACAAGATAAATACATATTTAATATATATATATATATATATACACACCTAAACTATTCCTAGATTCCAGGATTTCGGTTACATATAATACTATGAAATATACATTTACCTAAATTATTTCTAAACTTCAGGAGCTCCGTTACATATAAATAGGTAGTGTATAATACGTAGTAATACATATGAAATATACATATATCTAAACTATTCCTAAACTACACGAGCTTCATTTCATATACTACGTAATAAAATGATTTTTGGCATATTATATATATATATAGAGAGAGAGATTAGAGATCAAATACAAACTAGGCTTAACATGCTAACCTACAAACTAATCATGGCCCATCCATCTTAATTAGATTACCACACGGTTCATCATTTGACTGATGGGCTAAGTAGTCTTTTTTGTTTCTTTTATTTTTGGAAATAAAATCACCGTACCCTAGCTTTCCATAACTTCTTGCATCGATACTTCCTTCTCTCCTATCATGTTCACCATCAACAAGTCCTTTCTCCAGGATTCAAAGCTTCTCTTCATCTCCATTTTTCATCTCCATCTTCATCTCCTTCTCCATCTCCATCTCCATAGTCACCATTAATAGAGAGCTTCTTGGAACATAAGTAACTGTTCATTGTTTTGGTTATAACTTCATCTCCATCTTCTCTCCCATGAAATATTGTCTGTCGGATTTTTTTTAATTCTTTACAAGATTTAACAGATTTTGACATTTTGGATTTGAATCTAGTATGCACACCAGAAAAGAACATCTTAATTTTTTCTATTATGAGATTTATCATATTTAACGTTTTGATTTTTGTTTTCATGAAGTTCATCAATTTCATATTTATGCAAAAAAAATGTTTCAAATTTTCTATCTTAATGTACCAGAAACACTATGCATTTTGTGACCTCATAAATTTAGTATGCATGTCTGTTGAGTATACAATGCAGATGCCATAATGATAAGATGTAGTGTGAACTTCTAAAGTGCATATATCATCTTACTAAAATGCAATATATGAACGTCAATTCTAAATGAACATGTCCCAATGATAAAGTGCACATAGCGACAAGGTGCAATATGAACTTGTAAAATACACATATCATCATATTGACATGCAATATACGAACTTCTAAAATGCATATGTTAATGATTAAATGCAACATATAATAAACTACCTAAATGCAAGATCGACATATTTATCACTATGCAGTTCTAATATAAGTTGTGGAGATATTATAAATATATAATGCACATCATCTAACATTAATATGCACATCCAATAACGTTTATATGCATATCGGACAACCTTAATATGCATGCACTTCTACCTTTAATATGCATCATTTCTTACAAACTTAATATGTTAGAAGTTCTAATATAAACTGTGCACTCATTATCGATATATTATGCACATTCCATAACCTTAATATGCAACTAGTGTAAAGCCCGGAGCATGCCCTGGTAGCGCGTTAATGTGGTAATTAAGGGTTAAAAATAAAATTAATACTCCGTAATAAATATTGTGAATTATTTTTAGGTTTCAAAGTTGAATATAATGAAATTTTATTATGAACTAATGACAATCAATTATAAATTTGTACTTGTTGAAAGATTATTAAATTATCCATCATCATATACTAAACATTTACACTTTAGTTCATATCAAGGTTTAAAATTGTGGTAGCGGTTTTTGCGGCCGTTTCGATGCGTATTGCAGCTGATGCCATGAGATAATTTTACACTGGAACGAAATAAGGAAAAAATAAATTGGTGTTGTGGTCCCGATGCGGTCTGATGCGCCTGATGCTGTCCCATTGCAGCTACGATGCGGTTTTGTTGCGGTTACGTTGCAGATTTTCCCGTGAATCGAAACACACTGCCATCGTGGCCAGATGCGGTTGCGGTTATATTGCAACCGCAACACGTGTTGCAGCCTGCAATTTAATACCATGATCGATTTTGTTATTCACCAGGTTTTATTACTCCCTCTCATTATAAATTTAGTCGTATTTTGTTGATAAGTTTTGTTTCAATTATATTTTTTTTTTAAAAACCTTTTAAATATTTGTGACATATGGGACCTTTAAGATGGATCCTGTATGTTCAAATATTTTGGGCATATGGGACCATTAAGAAGGGGGTTCCCTATGTCAAAATATTTGTGACCTACGCTAACTGTTACTTCCTCCATCCCTTATAATTTTACTTTACTTTTTTGTATGAATTAAATAATTAAGTAGTTGCTATCTAAAATACTCTCAAACGGTGGTTCGAGGATTGGGAAGCAAGAAGGGTCATTCTTACTTCTCTCTTATTTTAGAGGATATAGTTGCTTTACGTGCTTTAAAGAGAAATTTAGTCATCTCTTTTTGTAAAAGGTCTGCGAATCGTGTTGCTCATGCTTTAGCTCGAGCACATGTCCATTCACCAGATCAACAATTTGTTTATGATCTTACGCCTGATTGTATATTTAGCCAGTTGGCTAATGATCTTTTGAATTAAATATATTGAGTTTTGACGATAAAAAAAATACTCTCAAAACTAATTCCAATAAAATAGCCTATCGAATGGATTAATTTAGCTTTATGGAAGAGTCCAAAACCAATTCCAATTGATCAAGTCTAATAAAAGAACAACGAATTAAAATAACTAATGAATTGTTAAATAATTCTCTAACTAATGAAGAGTCCAAAACCAATTCGAATTCATTCCCTAACGAATGGATTGTTAAAGAATTAATGAATTAAAAGTGATGCTAAATATTATAATTGTTAACCAAATAAAAGATGACACATCAACATTTTAAAACTCAAGTTTACTATATAAAACAATAGATGCTAAAAATGAAAGGTTAATTAGAAAGTGCATATAAAAGTAAAAGAGATATAAATGTTGTTAGACGGAGAAATAAATGTTGTAGATATACACTACCATTAGAGCATCCCCAATGTTTGAATGTCTAGTCTTAAAAAAATATGCCAAATGCCTAAAAACTAATAGACTTTCTAATACACGTAACAAGAAGTGTAATTACTATATATTAGACTAGCAAAGAAGCCTCCAATGCAAAACAACGACCAAGTCTAATGTCTATACGGAATTTAATACGATAGTATATCAAAGTATTACGGAGTACTAAATTTTAATATATTTTGTTTACACCACACAAAACCTGTAATGTTCTCACGTCCATTTATTTATATTACAAAGAAGATGCGTCTTTCTTCTTTTACATCGCACAGAAGACGATGTTGCTGTAGAAAATTGAACAACTCTCCCATATAATCTCCCAGGGACAAAGTTTCAGATTTCAAATTAGATGTTCACAAGTTGTTCAGAGAGATGGGCCCCAGATCCGCCAATTCCATGACCGGAAAGCAGGTCGGAGAGATGAGCCCCAGATCCGCCAATTACATGACCAGAAAGCAGGTCAGAGAGATAGCCCGAGAGCCACCATTCCACGAATCTGAATTTTGTTTCGTTCTGTGCTCTCCAGGAGGTGACGTCGCGCAGAGCGGTAATATCTTCCGTGGAACACTGTAGCGGCAAATTCGGCGATGAAATCCCTATCGTGAGATAGATGCAGAGGCTTTTTGAGGTGTAGGTTGTCCGAGTCAGCATGTTAAGGAGCCTTTCTACACTCACACGGCCCCTTCTCACAGTGTTTAAATTTTTTTTGTCAAGTCATCATAACTGAACGAGAGAATACATGCATTGGAAGTCAAATTGAAATCACAATGTCCCAGTTGATGACATGGCACACGTTTTCTTCACTAGACAGCATAGCAATGCGGATGCTCTTACTACGTATTACGAATGTTAGGAAGTGCAAAGTGTCAAGCCAGTTAGTGAGAGTTGAGAGCTGATTCTCTCACTAGAATTTTCTAGTTGCTCTACTAAACTTCCGGCACCACCACTCGCGGTGGTCGCCGGTGCCGGAGCCCTCCTGGCTCCGGTGGGCTAGTGGCCAGTCTAAGGCATGAATTTTGGAAACCATCCTACTTAGGTGGGAGGTTATGGTCCGTGGGTCTTTGTGTGTTGTGAGCAGGTTGGAGCTTTTAATGGTTCTTCCATGGTGTAGCTACTGCCGGAGGTTGCTGGTGGTGTCCGATGGAGCTCAAAGAGCCTGAAACTCATGGTTGACTTCCTGGATGTACCGGCCAATCACTGATGAACCAGCCGGCGGGGGTCATTGCGTGTGGGGGTGGCATGTACAGTGACGAGATTGGGGAAGAGGAAAGGCCTGGTTATGTCTATAGGTTTTTGGCCGCAGGGGAAGGTCTGGATGGGTTGCCGGAGGAAGCACCGGTGAAGGAAGGTGGAGGCTATGCTGCTATGAATTTTGTGGGTTTTACCGATTGAGATTCTTTGACTGGGCACCTCTGGTTCGTAGCTGAAAAAGATAACAGGGCAAGCCGGAAAAGAATCCATCACTGATTGACGGCCGTGGGGGTTTGATTTGGTGACGGAAAGGTGATGGTGGGCGGTCTGGCACATCGGAAATCATGGAAGGCTTCGGACTACGTTTGCGGTGATTGGCCGGAGAAGAAAACAGGGTGTGGTGCAAAGTTACTCTTTTCCGGCTACTGTTGATCCGCCATCGTTTTGGCACTTCACCTATGCCGTCGGGGGTCGCCGGGGCTCGAAGGGGGTGGGTGGTGGAAGTTGGAGTTTCGGATTAGCAGGTGTTAACTTCCGGTTTTGGGTTAAGGCCCTTTTCCTCCGGCCGCCGGACCGTCTGGTGGTACCGGCACCAAGCGGGGTTGCTAGGGGTGAGGGGCTGGGGTGGGGTTGACTGACATGGACCAGCCTGTCTGTTTGACCCATTTTGAAATTTGAATTTTCGATTTGCAGCGGCGCATATGCAAA